TATCCGGACAGGCGAACACACACACGCACACACAAGCATACACATAGACAGGGTCGTAGCGATACGCGTTTTTGCAACTTGCATATAAGCAGAAACGCATAATGATAGGCATGCATGCTGGAGGTAACGAAATGGAGTTTAAGCTTTAATCCTTTAGTAGTCTAGATATCCTTTTCGTCACCTGCGGGCCAACTACTCTTTGTTAGCCAACTACAACTACACCAGTCAGCCAACTACACTTTGTTCACGCCGTTTTCAAAGATAAGTATAACCAATAGCGTATTAACCAGAATCACAAAACAATCCAACCAAATGGCAGCCAGAAAAGCAGAAAAAACAACCCAAAAAAACCAAAATCTTTGCCTCCAAAGGTTTGCTTTTAAGTCCTACCGTGACCCCGCCCTCATTTATTAGGGGTCTTATACGTTCACCTCTGGAAAAAGAACATCTAGAATACCTTTGCACACTTGCAGACTTCATTTAAACGCGTCCCATAAATTGTTATCGTAACATCGGTTATTTCAAAGAAACTACATGTGGTACATATGGAGACGTATTGACCTAAACCATTCTGGGTCATCGAAAGCCCAGCTTTTCGCGACAGGAGGTCTATGCGGCCCTGTAATTATAACTTGTTTGTTCGTTTTGATGCTAAATTGGTACCGGCACATGACATCAGCTAGCAATCGAAGTCGGCAATCCTGTGGGTAGACTGTTGCTGTTGCTACGCACTGCTACTCGAGCTCCGTCTCCTAGAGGGTGAATACGATGAGGGCTTTGACGTTTGACAATTCCAGCAAAATTTGGCTTTCACTCCCCCAGTGCTAAAAATGTTTTAACCGCCGAACTACCAGCCATTTTATCTGTTTTATAAAGAAGCGTTCGCTGAAATGTTAGGATATCACTGACAGCACCGTAATAACAAGGAAATGTGAAGAACTGGATTATTTGTGGACGTTGTAGCCGCTATTTACAGTAGTTAACGCTACAGCAAGCTGAGTGTCATTAACGCTCGCACTGGTCTGAATAAAACTGTATGCAGGTAAGTGTGTTAAAAGCTGTGGCTGACTGCGTTCATTTTTGTCGCTTCTACGACCAAGGTTCTGACATGAAAGCACATTTTATTGTAATGGAAATGATAGGACCGAGCCTGGACCAGCTGCGCGCTCAGCTCCCGGGTAAATCTTTTACCCGAAGTACCGCACTCCGTGTTGGCATGCAGGTTTGCTTCTATTTGCTTATTTTTATGCGTTCTGATATAAATCAAAAGTGTAGACATTTTAAAAGGTATATGTGGATGAGACAAAAGCTAGGTAGTACAAATTTCCAGAGTTTATCTCACAGCCCCTCAAAATATCACAAATCTAAAATCATCGCACTTCCTTTCTTTCGCTCTCTTTGTTCTGACATATTACCACATTTCAAAAATAAACATATTTTACTGTTTAAAGACAAGAAAAAAATATAAACTATATATTTTGGAATAGTAACCACACCGGATTAAGGCATGTACAAGACGAAATTTGTTCACAAATTCTAGCAGTGATCTCCTAAGCTATTTTTAGTACCATGGTACTTTTAACCAGCTGCTGCTCACTTTGTACTGCTCAGTAGGGGACGGGAGGGGAGGGGGAGGGAGGAGCGGGAGGGGAGAAGAAACAGGGAGGGGAGAAGAAGAAGGGAGGAAGCACTGTCACTCCGTTCGTTCGTGCATCCAGCGCACTAATTAACACCAGGTTCAAACGAATCCTTTCATTTCGCTGGCAACTCTCCCAACGTTCGCTTACCACTACGCGTGTAAAAATCATTAACTTGCATAATTCAGAAGCATAAAGAGTGATAAACTGTCTGTAAACGACGTCAAAAACCGATGTCAGTCCGTGAGAGTGAGTTTTTTAAAATAAAATTACAAATGACGTAGGCTGTCGAGGCGTATGGAATGATTTTTTCAAATTTTATTCAAATTCATCGGTATATATAGCCAACTGCTATTCTCATCCCTTCCGTTCTGAAAAACTTTTCGATAACTCACGGCAATCCGTGATTTTAGTTCAAAATACTCCTTTTCCAATGGAGCTCTCAAAGTTTCCGTCGACTTTTATGGTTGACTTTTCATTGTTTTTTGCCCACCAGAAAATGAATTATTTCTTGTCTACCGAAGCGGTCACAGCTTTTTGCAAGTGTTTGCCACTACTTCACTGTTCTTGCTTTCATAATTTAGTGTTTACATGCAATTGAAGAACTACATGAAGCAGGTTTTATTTCTCGAGACGTTAAACCAGGCAACTTTGCAATTGGCTTGCCCGGACAACAACAGCGGCTTATACGAATGATTGACTTCGGAACTGCTAAAAGGTCTTGTCTGCGGGTGTCTCGCCATTTTGGTAATCGAAACTTGCTTTTTCGAATAACTTTAATTTGCTTACTCCTCTCCTATTCACTTATTAGAACTGTTACTATTGATAATGCTGGAAGAGTGTCCGTTTTGCAGCAACTTATAGGAATAATTTGTTTACTTAGAACAGTTTGAATAATGTGTCCATGAATAATTTGTTAAATTTGACTTCTGCAGTAACAATCGCTGCTAGATTAGATTTTCACGTGTAAACTATTGCTAAAAAATATTTAAAAAGTAATCGAATGCCAGCACATACATAAGCAACAAGAATATCAAAACTGCTTAGATA